ACTTCACGTATCGTTTTGTTGTTGGTATTAAGTACTCATTAAAAGATGTACGCCTATCACGCTGCGCCTTGGTCTGCCTCTTACAACGATCGTGACAGGAATAAGTCTATTTTAGTCCCTATCAGTTGTTTAAATACTGTATATATTTATTAATGCAAAAAGAAGGCACATTCTGTACACATGGATTTCAGGAGAGCAGTTCAATCAATTAACACATACAGCATAAGCAAGGATGATGATGCTCAATTGAATTAGAAGTCGCAGGCTAATATTTTCTAATGCAATACGAGCAACTAAGCAATCTCAATAAATCAGAATTTGCAATACATAGCGATGATACAGTATCTCCTACTTTACTCCAAAACTCATCTCTAGTATATTGACACTGGCCTTAGCTTGATCTATTTCCTGGTGGTGTAGATGATGATTAAGATGATCAGGCAGCAGAGGAGAACTCCAGTTCTTATGATGGAGAGAAGGACCAGGATTCTCATCTGTGGATCAACATCACGATATGAACTAATACATTTGCTTTTTAAATGACCTAGACTGACCAGGTGAAAGCTATGATCCGTTATTGATGTCAAGGGGGGGTTGGTTGTACTTGCTTCTATTCTAGGAAGGCTTTCCAGTAAATTTTGTAAAATTGCTGCAGGGACTTTTTTCCATTCAGCCACAAGAGCATTAGTGAGGTTGAGCACTGATGTTGGGTGATTAGGCCTGGCTCGCAGTCAGCGTTCCAATTCATCCCAAAGGTGTTCGATGGGGTTGAAGTCAGGGCTCTGTGCAGGCCAGTCAATTTCTTCCCTACCGATTTCGGCAAACCATTTCTGTATGGACCTTGCTTTGTGCACAGGTGTATTGTCATGCTAAAACAGGAAATGGCCTTTCCCAAACTGTTGCCACAAAGTTGGAAGCACAGAATCGTCTAGAATGTCATTGTATGCTGTAGCGTTAAGATTTCCCTTCACTGGAACTAAGGGGCCTAGCCCGAACCATGAAAAACAGCCCCAGACCATTATTCCTCCTCCACCAAACATTACAGTTGGCACTATGCATTGGGGCAGGTAGCGTTCTCCTGGCATCTGCCAAACATAGATTAGTCCGTCGGACTGCCAGATAGTGAAGCGTGATTCATCACTCCAGAGAACGCGTTTCCACTGCTCCAGAGTCCAATGGCGGCGAGCTTTACACCACTCCAGCCGCCACTTGGCATTGCGCATGGTGATCTTAGGCTTGTGTGCGGCTGTTCGGCCTAGGAAACCCATTTCATGAAGCTCCCGACAAAGTTATTGTGCTGCTGTCGGGTGCTGACGTTGCTTCCAGAGGCAGTTTGGAACTTGGTAGTGAGTGTTGCAACCGAGGACAGGCGATTTTTATGCGCTACGCGCTTCAGCACTCGGCGGTCCCGTTCTGTGAGCTTGTGTGGCCTAACACTTCGCGGCTGAGCCGTTGTTGCTCCTAGACGTTTCCACTTCACAATAACAGCACTTACAGTTGACCGGGGCAGCTCTAGCAGGGCCGGAATTTTACGAACAGATTTTTAGAAAGGTGGCATCCTATGAAGGTGCCACGTTGAAAGTCACTGAGCTCTTCAGTAAGGCCATTCTACTGCCAATGTTGGTCTATGGAGATCGCATGGCTGTGTGCTCAATTTCATACACCTGTCAGCAACGGGTATGGCTGAAATAGTCGAATCCACTAATTTGAAGGGGTGTCCAAATACTTTTGTATAGTGTATGTACATGGATGAACATGTGTGGGGTAAACACCTACACAATTAAACAAGTACATTTTATGTCAGTCTTCCATTCCTTGTATATTATTCACAGAAACATTCACTAAGTGTAACACCTGAGTGTGCCATGCCAGATTGGACACCCCAGCCAATCAACTAATTTGACACACTTTATCTAGTCTGTTTTACTCTGTGGTTATTGTGGTTCTAAAAGGAAGCAATCTATCAGAAGGAGGATGCTCCTTTATTGGTCTCCTTCTCACAGAACACCCTACAGTAGTCGTTGTGCTTCACAAGGCATGTCTGTTTGAGAATGTACTGAACGTTCTTCCATCACATCATCCCAAAATGGCCCCTCCCCCTGGACCACAAGTTAGAATAGATGGTGCTGTGTCACAAATGAGATGCTTAACTCAGAGGGTTCAAATAGGGTTCATTAGCAGTTATTTGTGGTTTTGGAACTGATTTCGGATAACGAAATATATATTACAGTCAGTTTTATAAATAACTGTTTTGCTGTGGCTGTAATCTGTCTGGTGCAACATGAACAACAAGTAAATATAGTGAGAACAACAGTGACACCACATAGACATCCTGCTGAAAACCACATAGAGACACAGAGACGCAGAGAGCAGGTAGGAGGGTCCAATGTGCACAAAGCCAGCAGGCCACCTGACCAAAGCGTAGATACGACCTCATCTTGGGCTTACAGAAGACTGCAGAGTACCTGTCAACTTGTTCACTGTGTGGGGGTGGGTGTGAGTGACATGCTATCAACACAATTAAAAGAGGACAACACATTACAGAGGAGAGATTACTTGAATGAATAGGTTGTCTCTCATACAGTGAGGGAAAAAAGTATTTGATCCCCTGCTGATTATGTATGTTTGCCCACTGACAAAGAAATAATCAGTCTATAATTTTAATGGTAGGTTTATTTGAACAGTGAGAGACAGAATAACAACAAAAAATCCAGAAAAACGCATGTCAAAAATGTTATAAACTGATTTGCACTTTAATGAGGGAAATAAGTATTTGACCCCTCTGCAAAACATGACTTAGTACTTGGTGGCAAAACCCTTGTTGGCAATCACAGAGGTCAGACGATTCTTGTAGTTGGCCACCAGGTTTGCACACATCTCAGGAGGGATTTTGTCCCACTCCTCTTTGCAGATCTTCTCCAAGTCATTAAGGTTTCGAGGCTGACGTTTGGCAACTCGAACCTTCAGCTCCCTCCACAGATTTTCTATGGGATTAAGGTCTGGAGACTGGCTAGGCCACTCCAGGACCTTAATGTGCTTCTTCTTGAGCCACTACTTTGTTGCCTTAGCCGTGTGTTTTGGGTCATTGTCATGCTGGAATACCCATCCACGACCCATTTTCAATGCCCTGGCTGAGGGAAGGAGGTTCTCACCCAAGATTTGACGGTACATGGCCCCGTCCATCGTCCCTTTGATGCGGTGAAGTTGTCCTGTCCCCTTAGCAGAAACACACCCCTAAAGCACCGTTCTCATGATCATTGCAACTCCACGAGGTGAGATCTTGCATGGAGCCCCAGGCCGAGGGAGATTGACAGTTCTTTGTGTTTCTTCCATTTGCGAATAATCGCACCAACTGTTGTCACCTTCTCACCAAGCTGCTTGGCGATGGTCTTGTAGCCCATTCCAGCCTTGTGTGGGTCTACAATCTTGTCCCTGACATCCTTGGAGAGCTCTTTGGTCTTGGCCATGGTGGAGAGTTTGGAATCTGATTGATTGATTGCTTCTGTGGACAGGTGTCTTTTATACAGGTAACAAGCTGAGATTAGGAGCATTCCCTTTAAGAGTGTGCTCCTAATCTCAGCTCGGAAGGGGTCAAATACTTATTTCCCTCATTCAAATGCAAATCAATTTCAACATTTTTGATATGCGTTTTTCTGGATTTTTTGTTGTTATTCTGTCTCTCACTGTTCAAATAAACCTACCATTACAATTATAAACTGATCATTTCTTTGTCAGTGGGCAAATGTACAAAATCAGCAGGGGATCAAATACTTTTTTCCCTCACTGTACTTATTCCACTATCACTGGAAATCAATTTTTTAAAATTACACGTAAAAACATGAGTCATTGTCTTCGTCATATAGAGAGCACTCTACTACCACTTTTATTTTGAGTGATGCTGTGGCTCCTCCTGTTAACTAAGCTACACTTTATAATAACTTAGTTGATGTTGGTAGTAATGATCCAGTGATGATGACTACCTAGCCTGTTTGATGCATGTGACGCTATGATGCTGATATGGATTTATAACATGATACAGATGTGTAATATGCATGTAATAAATGTATGTATTACCTTGTTATAGATTCTTAACAGCCACACAGTGTCTTTGTTGGGCCTTTGTTGACAGATATTATGACTACACACATTAACTACCTCAGGAAAGTACGTTTTCAACGCTTGTTCGTCAAATTAATTAACAATTTGAACATATTCACAACTTCTAAATGTTGCTGCGTCTCTGCTGGTGAAGCAGTCGCAGGGGACTTCCATGTAACCTGCTGCTCCCTATCGACAGATAAATGAATTGCAGTCCTCCAAGGTGCACTTCTACATTCACATTTTGTCAATAGTTTGTGAAAAGTCCTCAGTCACAAAGTGTACATTGTCCTGTCTGAAATCAGTCGCTCAACAATATAAAAACTGTTCAAAGTATATTCACCTAAGCTGTTTATTTTTAGTTCAGGCTTTTCTCATGAAGAGAGTGAGTTGTGCTCTTAGTGACATGGTTGTTTGTGGTTTAGATGCAGGTGTTTGTAGAGAGCGCATGGTGAGGACTGTAGGTCATTGCTGGGGGTTAAAGATGAGTTTAGCTGAGAGTTAAATCTATTTAGGGCATTCAGAATACCACAGAGATCTTTTCAGGATACAGTTAAAAAAGATTTTGAGACAAACTTAAACACCAGTCAATAGATGCATTTTTACAGTGTATTATGCAACCAAACATACCTTTGTTACATTGAGCATAAGCCTAATATGGTTGTTGCATACTGAATCTGTGGGTAAAATTTAAAGAGAGAGAAACATATGAATGCAAACCAAACAATGCCTCTGAATGAATGCAGTTGAATGTTTTATTGGATCTAAAATGCACAACAGTATCAATGTTAAAATGAGCTCCACAGAATACTATTACAACACACAATGAACAGCCATAGTTATACATACAGTGTAGAAAACACAAAATCAATGCAAGTTATTAAAGATCAAAAGTTGACGTTTCAGTCCATGTTTTTGCACCTCACCCCAGAATACACAGTGTCTCTCTCCATGGTGCCCCTCTGTCTCTGGGTCTTTGGCTTCTTGTGGATGACATTCAGAGCAGCGTAATGGACAGACGTGAGTGTGTCATCATCTTCTTGATCCTAAGAGGAATAGCAAAACAAATTCCAAAGACATCAGGAAATTACCTGATATTTTGACAGAAGGATCTGTTTACAGTTCATCAAACTCATAAAACATTTTTTTTTCACTGTATGGTCTGGATACCTGATTATAAGAACTGGGGACTCCCGGACCACTTGACTGAGGGTCCATTCCTTTTAGACAAACACATGGTGGAATTATCATCAACATCATCATCATCATCATACAATGAATTAACCCAGTTTCATGACTAAAATTTACATTTAGCAGACGCTTTTATCCAGAGCAACTTACAGGAGCAATTAGGGTTAAGTGCTTTGCTCAAGGGCACGTCAACAGATTTTTCACCTAGTCAGCTCGGGGATTAGAACCAGCGACCTTTCGATTACTGGCACAACGCTCTTAACCCCTAAGCTACCTGCCGCCCCAATGTGTAATGTATACCGCCCCAACAGTTTAAGCATATATTGTGGGCAATGATAACACTTACCTCTACACAGCAGAGAGGTTTTCTTGTTCATCTTATACAAAACACAACCAAGGACAATGATGAGGATGACACAAAGAGCCAACACTACACCCAGACAGTACACCAAGAGAACATGGTCCTCCTTACAACCATCTGTAGAAATACAGACAGTGATAGAGGAAATTCAGGACTTTTTGTTCAACCAGGCATACAATTTATTCACAGCAATGTTAAAGAATTTTAGACATTTTCAGAAATGTCAGAAATATAACTTACGGTCAATGTCCAGCTTGGTCCCGTTGCCAAACAGTATCTCCCCACATGAGGCCACAGCACAGTAGTAAGTCCCAGCATCAGAGAGGCTGAGGTTCCTCTTGGGGAGGTTGTAGACACAGCTCTGTGTAGGAGACCCAGCCTCAGGGCTCTTCTCACACTGATCACTCCTGTCTCCATAGGTGTAAATGATTCCTGGATGGGATTCTCCTGAGCCATGTCTGAACCAATAGACACTGTGTTCTCCTGCACAGGTCTCAGTGTGTATTGTACAGTTCAGAGTCACAGAGTCTCCTGGCTGGACTGACTCAGACACAGGCTGCTGTACAACAGCTTTGCTTGGTCCTGAAATAAATAGTTATGAACTAACTTTAGATGATGGATTAGCACATTTGAAGAATGAACATAAATAGCTATATTTTACAACATTAACATTAATACAACAACAGCCTACCTTTCAGAATGAGAAATATCCCATTTTTGAATTCCATCACATTAACATTAAGTCCCCCACAGAAATATGTGGCGGAGTCAGATGGATGAGTGTTGGAGATATGTAGGTGATAAAATCCGTTTCCACTTTGCACTGTGAACCGAGGGTTATCCTTAAACTCACTGTAAAATGTTGCACCACCACCATATTTGTAAATTGTTGCTACAAGTTGAGGCTTCTGTCCTACATTTAGCTTGTACCATGAGATATAAGAATATCTGTCTGGATAGAAGCATCGCAGAATCACATTGTCTCCAAGATGAGCGTGCAGAAGAGGACTTGGATGGCCGATGTCTTCCGTGTCCACTATAAATGAAATGCAGTGAAGATAACTCAGACAACATAAACTTTTACTTACTTTAATTACATTAACCCTAAGTCCTGGTTGTGTGTGGTGTACAGTGTTCGGTTTCCCTGAGTGTGTGAATCAAACATTGTTAAACATTGATTCAGGAGTGTGAAATATTAGAATCCTTGGTTAACCAATAGTATTTGAAGTTGTTAAACTACAATAACATAGATCATATAATGAGATGAACTTACAGGCTTGGATGAGAACCAGGACAAGACACAACCTGAACATCCTTCAACTTCTTCTCTCTGGTCTGGTGCAAAAGAACAACTGAGATGAGGGTCAAGAGACAAAGTGAAGTGACAGCATCAGCAGAAATGTGTATCTACATACACCACATGACGCACAACTTTTAGGTTGGCTCCATTGGTTGTTTGAAGAGGAAGTGAGGTTGAGAAAATCTCCCACCTTACATACCGATACAGTATGTATTCATCGATGAATCAATGATGCGTTTCTCTCTAAAATGCTTACGCATTTATCTTCAAAGGGTGTAAAGTCCGAGTTATTAGTTTGTATTTTTTCATCATTTGGGTTGGTTGCTGTGACTAGTGGCACATACAGTGCCTATAGAACTTATACACTAACACTGGATTTCTTCACATTTTATTGTGTTACAAAGTGGGATTAAAATTGATTTAATTGTGATTTTTTTTGTCAACAATCTACACAAAAAAACTCATGTCAAAGTGGAAAGAAATTCTAACATAAGATTACCTGGTGCAAATAAGTGGTAAGTATTGGGCAAGTGCTTAAACGTAGGAAATGTCATGTTACAACTATTATCATCAAAAGTAAGAGTTCAGACATTTGCAAAATGATAATACATATTTTGTACTACACTTCTTTTTACAAAAGCAAATGTATCCAGTCAGGATTTGAGACTTCTGAAAGCATCCTAGTAAGAAGAAATGGCACTAGTGGGGATGGCTGCCGTTTTACAAGCTCCAAACCAATTGTGCTATTGTATGTGTTTTTTTGCATTGTCTGTAACATATTTTGTAAATAATGTTTCTGCCACCGTCTCTTATGACCGAAAAGAGCTTCTGGATATCAGAACAGCGATTACGCACTTCAATTATTTATTTGACGAGTCAGACGCGAAGGATTTACTCCTGCTACCGGACCAGGCCCAAATTCCTGTCATTCGCATGAAGAAGAGACGCCGATACAGGGGACTAAAATCCGGATGCCTTGTTTGAATTCGTCAACCAGTGGGTAACCCGCCTCTTCCATCCGTCCTATTTGCCAACGTGCAATCAATGGAAAATAAACCTGACGAGCTCCGTTTGTCACGATCGTCATATTGAACAGACCAAGGCGCAGCGTGATGAACGAACATACTTTAATTAGTTAAAGTGTAAACACGATACAAAAACAAGAAACGACTCGTGAAGTCCACGGTAACAATGACCGAACACGGAACAAGAAACCACAAATACAAAGGGAAAATAGACAGTATAAATATGGCTCCCAATCAGAGACAACCAACGACAGCTGACACTCGTTGCCTCTGAATGGGAGTAACTCTAGCCAACATAGAAATAAACACACCAGAATTACCAACATAGAAATAAACACAAAGAATGAACACACCCTGGCTCAACATATAGAGTCCCAGAGCCAGGGTGTGACAGTACCCCCCCCTAAAGGCGCGGACTGCGACCGCGCCTCAACCTGAACAAAACAGGGGAGGGCTGGGCGGGCATACCTCCTCGGTGGCGGTTCTGGCTCCGGCCTTGACCACCACCCTCCAATACACCCCCCATAGCGCCCCTGGTCCAGTCTGGCCCCGCCGGCTGGAGCTGAACTGGACTTAGCAGGAGCGGTTAGCTTCAGCTCCATAGTGGAGCAGTTGACCGGTACCTTACCAGGCACCGGTGACCCAGGCACGGGTTGTGCTGGACTGACGACGCGGAGGAGGGACGGGCCTTACCAGGCTGACGACTCGCACCCCTGGCTTGGTGCGTGGAGGAGGGACGGGCCTTACCAGGCTGACGACTCGCACCCCTGGCTTAGTGCGTGGAGGAGGAACGGGCCTTACCAGGCTGACGACTCGCACCCCTGGCTTGGTGCGTGGAGGAGGAACGGGCCTTACCAGGCTGACGTCTCGCACCCCTGGCTTAGTGCGAGTGGCAGGAACAGGCCGGGCCGGGCTGGCGACGCGCACTGTAGACTTGGTGCGAGAGGCAGGAACAGGCCGGGCCGGGCTGGCGACGCACACCGTAGGCTTGGTGCGTGGAGCAGGGACTGGCCGGACTGGGCTGGCGACGCACACCGCAGGCTTGGTGCGTGGAACAGGGACAGGCCGAACCGGGCTGTGGAGACGGATAGGAGACCTGGAGTGAAGAGCGGCCACAACCCGTCCTGGCTGAATGCCTACCCTCACCCACTCTGTGTGAGGCATCCGCACAGGACGTATAGGGCGGTGTATCCGTAACCTGGTGGCCTTCTGAATCCGCCCCTCTTTTGCCTCCGTCAGCCCCGTCGTCCATGCCGTGTGCCCCCCCCTAAAAATTTTCTGGGGTTGCCTCTCGCCTGTCCGACGTTGACCCGTTTGGCGCCGCTGCTCCTCTCTACGGCGCGCCTCCACCGTCTCTTCTCCCGGCGCTTCCTCCCATGTCCAGCCCAAGTGCTGCCCCTGGACACGCTGCTTGGTCGTTGCATGGTGGGTTCTTCTGTCACGATCGTCATACATAGAGGAGGACCAATGCGCAGCGTGATGAACGAACATACTTTAATTAGTTAAAGTGTAAACACGATACAAAAAACAAGAAACGACTCGTGAAGTCCACGGTAACAATGACCGAACACGGAACAAGAACCCACAAACACAAAGGGAAAATAGACAGTATAAATATGGCTCCCAATCAGAGACAACCAACGACAGCTGACACTCGTTGCCTCTGATTGGGAGTCACTCTAGCCAACATAGAAATAAACACACCAGAATTACCAACATAGAAATAAACACAAAGAATGAACACACCCTGGCTCAACATATAGAGTCCCAGAGCCAGGGTGTGACACCGTTCGAGACTCTCCTACCAACGGGACATTAAAAACAGTAATATCTTACGTTTCACCAAGTCGTGACTGAACGACAACATGGATAATATACAGTTAGCTGGGTTTTCCGTGCATCGGCAAGACAAAACAGCTACCTCCGGTAAGACGAGGGGTGGTAGTCTGTGTCTATTTGATAATAACAACTGGTGCACGAAATCTAATATTAAAGAAGTTCTAGGCTTTGCTCGCCTGAGGTAAAGTTCCTCATGATAAGCTGTAGACCACACTATTTACCAAGAGAGTTTTCATCTATACTGTTCGTAGCTGTCTATTTACCACCACAAACCGATACTGGCACCAAGACCGCACTCAACGCGTTGTATAAGGCCATAAGCAAACAAGAAAATGCTGATCCAGAATCGGTGCTCCTAGTGGCCAGGGACGTTAATGCAGGAAAACTTACATCCATTTTACCTCATTTCTACCAGCATGTCACATGTGCAACCACCTCTAGACCACCTTTACTCCACACACAGACACATGTACAAAGCTATCCCTCGCCCTTCATTTGGCAAATCTGACCATAATTCTATCCTCCTGATTCCTGCTTACAAGCAAAAACTAAAGCAGGAAGTACCAGTGACTCGCTCAATACAGAAGTGGTCAGATGACGCAGATGCTAAGCTTCAGGACTGTTTTGCTAGCTGAGAGTAGAATATGTTCCGGGATTCATCCAATGGCATTGAGTATCCACATCAGTCACCAGCTTCATCAATAAGTGCGTCGATGACGTCATCCCCACAGTGACCGTACGTATATACCCCAACTAGACACCATGGATTACAGGCAACATCTGAACTGGGCTGAAGGGTAGAGCTGCCGCTTTCAAGGAACGGGACTCTAACCCGGACACTTATAAGAAATCACGCTATGCCCTCCGACGAACCATCAAACAGGCAAAGTGTCAATAAAGGACTAAAATTGAATCCCACTACACCAGCTCTGACGCTTGTTGGATGTGGCAGGGCTTGCAAACTGTTACGGACAACAAAGGGAAGTCCAGCCGCGAGATGCCCGGTGACATGAGCCTACCAGACGAGCTAAATGATTTCTGTGCGCGCTTCGAGGCAAGCAACACTGAAGAATGCGTGACAGCACCAGCTGTTCCGGACTACTGTGTGATCACGCTCTCCGTAGCTTGATCACACAGTAAGCTGGCTTTTTTTCTGGCAACTCTTCCGTAAAGCCCAGCTCTGTGGAGTGTACGGCTTAAAGTGGTACAATGGACAGATACTCCAATCTCTGCTGTGGAGCTTTGCAGCTCCTTCAGGGTTATCTTTGGTCTCTTTATTGCCTCTCTGATTACTGCCCTCCTTGTCTGGTCTGTGAGTTTTTGTGTGCGGCCCTCTCTTGGCAGGTTTGTTGTGGTGCCATATTCTTTCCATTTTTAAAATAATGGATTTAATGGTGCTTCGTGGGATGTTCAAAGTTTCTGATATTTTTTTATAACCCAACCCTGATCTGTACTTCTCCACAACTTTGTCCCTGACCTGTTTGGAGAGCTCCTTGGTCTTCATGGTGCCGCTTGCTTGGTGGTGCCCCTTGCTTAGTGGTGTTGCAGACTCTGGGGCCTTTCAGAACAGGTGTATATAGACTGAGATCATGTGACAGATCATGTGACACTTAGATTGCACACAGGTGGACTTTATTTAACTAATTATGTGACTTCTGAAGGTAATTGGTTGCACCAGATCTTATTTAGGGGCTTCATAGCAAAGGGGGTGAATACATATGCACGCACCACTTTTCCATTATTAATTATTTTTTTTGAAACAAGTAATTTTTTCATTTCACAAAAATCTATTTAAATTACCAGGTGGTGTCAGAGGAAGGCCCTAAAAATTGTCAGTCTCCAGCCACCCTAGTCGTAGACTGTTCTCTGCTTCCGCTCCAAATCTAGGTCCAAAAGGCTCCTTAACAGCTTCTACCCCCAATCCATATGACTGCTGAACAGGTAATCAAATGGCTACCTGGACTATTTTTCACTGTTGAATCCTGCTGTATATTATCTATGCTTGGTCACTTTACCCCTACCTACATGTACATATTACCTCAATTACCTCGACTAACCTGTAACCCCGGACATTAACTCGGTACCGGTGCCCCCTGTATATAGCTTCGTTATTGTTATTTTATTGTGTTACTTTTTTTCGTTTCTTTAGTAAATATTTTCTTAACTCTTACCTTTCTTAAAACTGCATTGTTGGTTAACGGCTTGTAAGTAAGCATTTCACGGTAAGGTCTACACCTGTAGTATTCGGTGCAAGTGACAAATAAAACTGGATTTCATTTGATTTAGTATCAGCTTTCACACTTCCTGGACAATTATGCTCTGCGTCTGAATAATTCTACATTGATATTAGGAGAATATTCCAATGCAGTGACAGTCTCTTCAGCTAGATCCGACCATTACATTTTACAGCAAATGAGGAATGTACAAAATAGCCAAGTCACACTGTCACGGTTTCGGCCGAGGCAGCTCCTCCTCCTTGTTCGGGCAGGTTTCGCCGTTCGTCGTCTCCGGAGTACTAGCTGCCACCGCTCCATGTTTTCTGTTTGACTAGTTTTGTCTGATTAGTCACACCTGTCTTGTGTTATGTCTAATTAAGCACCCTATTTAGTTTCCCTGTTTTGTGTGTTGTGTTGTGTGTAATTGTTTCGTGTTGGTGTCGTTTCGTACCTGTGTTTGGTACGCCACCTCTGTATTGCCTACTTCTCGATTTGGAGGAGTTTTGCGCGCCTGTTTTGGGCGCTTGTGTTTCACGCCTGTGTGCGTTTTGCCTCTGGCTATTTTGGATTATTGCATTTGCATTTTCCAGTAAAGTATTTTGGACTCTCCTTCTGCTTCTGCACTTGATTCCACACCACACCTTTTCTACACGGCTCTGACACACACGGACACAGTCAAGCTCAAAGGGGAGGTCAGTAAGGCTAAACTTAAAATGATGCTGATTGGAGGACTGCCACATCCTGTCTATGTGACACACCAGAGTAGATGGTTTCTTCCTCTCTCTGTTCTCTCTGTTCTCTCCTCTGTCTCCTGGGCTTGGTACTCTTCTTGTCAGTGAACTTCAGGGCAGTGTAGATCAGGCCATCATCGTCACCGTGGAGCTATGAGGATGAAACACAGACTCACTCAATTCAGTCTCTGGGTCAAATATAATGCTGTAATGTTTAGCTTTAATACTCTATTCCAGTTTCACTCTTGATACAACAACTCTGCTAACCTGTTGTTCTGACGTGTTGGCATGAGGCTTCCAATACTGGCTCTGCTGAGAAGGGGTCCTCGCTAAAAGATCAATGATAAAACATTAAATATACTTGAAACCTTTTCTTGTTTACTAATAAAAAGGCATACTGCTGTGAATGTCATATTTTCTGCTTCAAAATTAAGTAGTCTTGTGAAATGAAAAAATGTCCAGAGAGGGAATTGTTAAAAGGAGGGCTAGCGTTTTTGATCTATTACTATCATTGCTATTACTATTAGCATGAAGACTTTTACAGTACCTGCACAGTGTTCACATCGTGACCTCTTCATTCTCACACAGAGGATAACGTTGACAACCACACTCAGAATCACAGCAGTTGTCAGGCAAGATAGAATGATGAGGAAAATAAGATTACTCTGATCACCCAACAGGTCTGAAACTTAGAAAACAAGGCTTGATTATTTTCTATTATTCTTTATTCCTCAGTGCTTTTGGCATAAAAGTTAGCTATAAAAGTTAGATTTGAAATCTACTTTGAATTTAATGGAATTGACGTATTGACATGTCCTATCATTTGGGAGAAAATGTGTGGTATTTTGGTTATGCACAGCTTACCTTCGATGTCCAGCTTGGTCCCGTTTCCAAACAGTATCTCCCCACATGAGGCCACAGCACAGTAGTAAATCCCAGCATCAGAGAGGCTGAGGTTCCTCTTGGGGAGGTTGTAGACACAGCTCTGTGTAGGAGACCCAGCCTCAGGGCTCTTCTCTCTCTGATCACTCCTGTCTCCCTGGGTGTAAATGATTCCTGGATGGGATTCTCCTGAGCTATGGCTGAACCAATACACACAGTGTTCTCCTGCACAGGTCTCAGTGTGTATTGTACAGTTCAGAGTCAAGGAGTCTCCTTTCTGGACTGACTCAGACACAGACTGCTGTACAACTGTTGTGTTTCTGGATGATGAACTTGACAAAAAGGTTTTCATGTCAGTAAATGTGTTTCCTATTTTGTGTCCTAACTCAACATTTGTTGAAAACTTAAGCTACAGTAATGTATGACTGTGCGAATACCTCACATTTAATTAAGACATTGAATATCCAAAAAGTAAAGTGCAACAATGCTCAAGATTATTGTTGTAGAACAGCAGTTTCTAGTTATATCTCTCTAAATTCAGATTTTGTACCTTTAACAATGAGAATGGCTCCTTCTCCAAATCCACCTTGTTGGAATAAGAACTCCCACAGTAATATATTGATCAAATCAAATCAAATCAAATTGTATTGGTCACATGCGCCGAATACAACAGGTGCAGACATTACAGTGAAATGCTTACTTACAGCCCTTAACCAACAGTGCATTTATTTTAAACAAAAAAAGTAAGAATAAAACAACAACAAAAAAAGTGTTGAGAAAAAAAAGAGCAGAAGTAAAATAAAGTGACAGTAGGGAGGCTATATATACAGTTAAATAAAGTGACAGTAGGGAGGCTATATATACAGGGGGGTACCGTTGCAGAGTCAATGTGCGGGGGCACCGGCTAGTTGAGGTAGTTGAGGTAATATGTACATGTGGGTAGAGTTAAAGTGACTATGCATAAATACTTAACAGAGTAGCAGCAGCGTAAAAAGGATGGGGTGGGGGGGCAGTGCAAATAGTCCGGGTAGCCATGATTAGCTGTTCAGGAGTCTTATGGCTTGGGGGGTAGAAGCTGTTGAGAAGTCTTTTGGACCTAGACTTGGCACTCCGGTACCGCTTGCCGTGCGGTAGCAGAGAGAACAGTCTATGACTAGGGTGGCTGGAGTCTTTGACAATTTTGAGGGCCTTCCTCTGACACCGCCTGGTATAGAGGTCCTGGATGGCAGGGAGCTTTGCCCCAGTGATGTACTGGGCCGTACGCACTACCCTCTGTAGTGCCTTGCGGTCAGAGGCCAAGCAGTTGCCATACCAGGCGGTGATGCAACCAGTCAGGATGCTCTCGATGGTGCAGCTGTAGAATTTTTTGAGGATCTGAGGACCCATGCCAAATCTTTTTAGTCTCCTGAGGGGGAATAGGCTTTGTCGTGCCCTCTTCACGACTGTCTTGGTGTGTTTGGACCATGATAGTTCGTTGGTGATGTGGACACCAAGGAACTTGAAGCTCTCAACCTGTTCCACTACAGCCCCGTCGATGAGAATGGGGGCGTGCTCAGTCCTCTTTTTTTTCCTGTAGTCCACAATCATCTCCTTTGTCTTGGTCACGTTGAGGGAGAGGTTGTTGTCCTGGCACCACACGGCCAGATCTCTGACCTCCTCCCTATAGGCTGTCTCATCGTTGTCGGTGATCAGGCCTACCACTGTTGTGTCGTCGGCAAACTTAATGATGGTGTTGGAGTCGTGCCTGGCCATGCAGTCATGGGTGAACAGAGAGTACAGGAGGGGACTGAGCACGCACCCCTGAGGGGCCCCCGTGTTGAGGATCAGTGTGGCAGATGTGTTGTTACCTACCCTTACCACCTGGGGGCGGCCCGTCAGGAAGTCCAGGATCCAGTTGCAGAGGGAGGTGTTTAGTCCCAGGATCCTTAGCTTAGTGATGAGCTTAGAGGGCACTATGGTGTTGAATGCTGAGCTGTAGTCAATGAATAGCATTCTCACGTAGGTGTTCCTCTTGTCCAGGTGGGAAAGGGCAGTGTGGAGTGCGATAGAGATTGCATCATCTGTGGATCTGTTGGGGCGGTATGCAAATTGGAGTGGGTCTAGGGTTTCTTGGATTATGCTGTTGATGTGAGCCATGACCAGTCTTTCAAAGCACTTCATGGCTACAGACGTCAGTGCTACGGGTCGGTAGTCATTTAGGCAGGTTATCTTAGAGTTCTTGGGCACGGGGACTATGGTGGTCTGCTTGAAACATGTTGGTATTACAGACTCAGTCAGGGACATGTTGAAAATGTCAGTGAAGACACTTGCCAGTTGGTCAGCACATGCTCGGAGTACACGTCCTGGTAATCCGTCTGGCCCTGCGGCCTTGTGAATGTTGACCTGCTTAAAAGTCTTACTCACATCGGCTACGGAGAGCGTGATCACATAGTCATCCGGAACAGCTGGTGCTCTCATGCACGCTTCAGTGTTGCTTGCCTCGAAGCGAGCATAGAAGTGGTTTAGCTCGTCTGGTAGGCTTGTGTCACTGGGCAGCTCGTGGCTGTGCTTCCCTTTGTAGTCTGTAATAGTTTTCAAGCCCTGCCACATCCGACGAGCGTCAGAGCCAGTGTAGTATGATTCAATCTTAGACCTGTATTGACTCTTTGCCTGTTTGATGGTTCGTCTGAGGTCATAGCGGGATTTCTTATAAGCGTCCGGGTTAGAGTCCCGTTCCTTGAAAGCGGCAGCTCTACCCTTTAGCTCAGTGCGGATGTTTCCTGTAATCCATGGCTTCTGGTTGGGGTATGTACGTACGGTCACTGTGGGGACGACATCATCGATGCACTTATTGATGAAGCCAGTGACTGATGTGGTGTACTCTTCAATGCTGTCTGAAGAATCCCGGAACATGTTCCAGTCTGTGCTAGCAAAACAGTCCTGTAGCTTAGCATCTGCGTCATCTGACCACTTTTTTATTAACCGAATTACTAGTGCTTCCTGCTTCAGTTTTGCTTATAAGCAGGAATCAGGAGGATAGAGTTATGGTCAGATTTGCCAAATGGAGGGCGAGGGAGAGCTTTGTATGCGTCTCTGTGTGTGGAGTAAAGGTGGTCTAGAGTTTTTTTCCCTCTGGTTGCACATTTAACATGCTGGTAGAAATTAGGTAGAACGGATTTAAGTTTCCCTGCATTAAAGTCCCCGGCCACTAGGAGCGCTGCATCTGGATGAGCGTTTTCCTGTTGATTAATGGCCTTGTACAACTCATTCAGTGCAATCTTAATGCCAGCATTGGTTTGTGGTGGTAAATAGACAGCTATGAATAATATAGATGAAAACTCTCTTGGTAAATAGTGTGGTCTACAGCTTATCATAAGATACTCTACCTCAGGCGAGCAAAACCTTGAGACTTCCTTAGTATTTGATTTTGTGCACCAGCTGTTGTTTACAAATATACAGAGACCGCCACCCCTTGTCTTACCAGAGTCAGACGTTCTGTCCTGCCGATGTAGCGTATAGCCTGCTAGCTGAATGTTATCATTGTTGTCGTTCAGCCACGACTCCGTGAAACATAAGATATTACAGTTTTTAATGTCCCGTTGGTAGGATAACCGTAATCTTAAATCGTCCATTTTATTCTCAAAAGCTTGAACGTTGGCTAATAGGATTGATGGAAGAGGCAGTTTACTCTCTCGCCGTCGGATCCTTACAAGGCACCCGGATCTGCGTCCGCGATATCTCCGTCTCTTCCTCACGCGAATGACGGGGATCTGGGCCTTGTCAGGTGTCTGTAGGATATCCTTCGCGGCCGCCTCGTTGAAGAAAAAATCTTCGTCCAATGCGAGGTGAGTAATCGCTGTCCTGATATCCAGAAGCTCTTTTTGGTTATAAGAGACGATGGCAGAAACATTATGTACAAAATAAATTACAAATAACGCGGAAAAACACACATAATAGTACAATTGGTTAGAGGGCTGTAAAACGGCAGCCATCTTCTCCGGCGCTGTTCTAGTAATATATTGATGAGCTGCATGTCTGAGATCCTTAGGTGTTTTATTCCTTTACCACTTTGCACTGAGAAGCGAGGGTTGCCTTTAAATTCATTGTGGAGTGTAGCATTATTGTCAAACTTGTAAAAAGTTGTCATGAGCTGAAAATTGTCACCCAAGGTTTGCTTGAACCACAAGAAGTGCAGTGCCAAGTTTCCTTCATGGAAGCAGTGTAAAGTCACTGTGTCTCCTATGTTGGTTGACACAAAGCGCATGACTGAGGATTGTACCGCAGCTAGAATACACACAAAGACAAATATGAATTGCATCAATAAAGTTCTTGGGTGTCTTCAAATGTAGGGTGTACCCCCTATAAGCACAGAAATGTACAAGTTGGACCTACCCATCTCCCTGAGAAGTGGAAATATCAGGCAGAGTGTGATGATCATCTTTGAAGTTGTCATGCTCTTTACTAACTGTGTCTTGAGTGGAAGAAGTCTACCCATGTAGACAACACTTCAACAGTGGGCTATTTGGTGATTGGTTGAACTGGACACATCATTTTTGTTGATGCCTTATCCAGCCCACCATAAACTGAGAATCACTTACTGTATATAATCAATGCTAAAAGTGGACCAATGCTAGTAATTTGCAACAACTGGCTGGAAGAAAGCTGTCTAATACTCTGTTAAAACTCTTATCTGGATAGATAGTCTGTGTAAGAACAATTAAAATATCATCCAACAACCTTTTTTTATTTCTTGGCAATCATACTTTACCACCCGATTTACCATGACGTGTTGTTGTTTTTTCTTTATAGATTTTTCATGTAGTTTGTACTTGTACATTTTTGAAGCATACTGTACATTATATGTACCTGTATGCTCTCGGTATGAAATTCAGTTGTGTGCCTTAGATATCTTTGGCCCCACCACATGCAGCAGTTACGGTGCTCCTGATGACCTATAGGAGGACTGTTATACATAGAACATGACTTGATACTGTATGTACAGCATGAATAGGGGTGGAGCATTATGACTGTATAAGGGGAAAACACCTACAGGATGAAGCAGGTCTATTTTATGTCAGTCTTACTTTCACTATCGTTCAAAGAAACATCATGTGTAACATCTTTGTTTACTAGGGGTCAGGGGTTTACCTGGGTGGGTAAGGCTCTTGGCTGTACCCTGGATACACCTTCTACAACTTCTACTACGAGGTTTTGCTTGCCTGAGGTAGAATATCTTATGATAAGCTGTAGACCACACTATTTACCAAGAGAGTTTTCATCTATATTTTTCATAGCTGTCTATTTACCACCACAAACCAATGCTGGCATTAAGATTGCACTGAATGAGTTGTACAAGGCCATTAATCAACTGGAAAACGCTCATCCAGATGCAGCGCTCCTAGTGGCCGGGGACTTTAATGCAGGGAAACTTAAATCCGTTCTACCTAATTTCTACCAGCATGTTAAATGTGCAACCAGAGGGAAAAAAACTCTAGACCACCTTTACTCCACACACAGAGACGCATACAAAGCTCTCCCTCGCCCTCCATTTGGCAAATCTGACCATAACTCTATCCTCCTGATTCCTGCTTATAAGCAAAAACTGAAGCAGGAAGCACCAGTGATTCGGTTAATAAAAAAGTGGTCAGATGACGCAGATGCTAAGCTACAGGACTGTTTTGCTAGCACAGACTGGAACATGTTCCGGGATTCTTCAGACAGCATTGAGGAGTACACCACATCAGTCACTGGCTTCATCAATAAGTGCATCGATGATGTCGTCCCCACAGTGACCGTACGTACATACCCCAACCAGAAGCCATGGATTACAGGAAACATCCGCACTGAGCTAAAGGGTAGAGCTGCCGCTTTCAAGGAATGGGACTCTAACCCGGACGCTTATAAGAAATCCCGCTATGACCTCCGACGAACCATCAAACAGGCAAAGAGTCAATACAGGTCTAAGATTGAATCATACTACACTGGCTCTGACGCTCGTCGGATGTGGCAGGGCTTGAAAACTATTACAGACTACAAAGGGAAGCACAGCCGCGAGCTGCCCAGTGACACAAGCCTACCAGACGAGCTAAACCACTTCTATGCTCGCTTCGACGCAAGCAACACTGAAGCATGCATGAGAGCACCAGCTGTTCCGGATGACTATGTGATCACGCTCTCCATAGCCGATGTGAGTAAGACTTTTAAGCAGGTCAACATTCACAAGGCCGCAGGGCCAGACGGATTACCAGGACGTGTACTCCGAGCATGTGCTGACCAACTGGCAAGTGTCTTCACTGACATTTTCAACATGTCCCTGACTGAGTCTGTAATACCAACATGTTTCAAGCAGACCACCATAGTCCCCGTGCCCAAGAACTCTAAGATAACCTGCCTAAATGACTACCGACCCGTAGCACTGACGTCTGTAGCCATGAAGTGCTTTGAAAGACTGGTCATGGCTCACATCAACAGCATAATCCCAGAAACCCTAGACCCACTCCAATTTGCATACCGCCCCAACAGATCCACAGATGATGCAATCTCTATCGCACTCCACACTGCCCTTTCCCACCTGGACAAGAGGAACACCTACGTGAGAATGCTATTCATTGACTACAGCTCAGCATTCAACACCATAGTGCCCTCTAAGCTCATCACTAAGCTAAGGATCCTGGGACTAAACACCTCCCTCTGCAACTGGATCCTGGACTTCCTGACGGGCCGCCCCCAGGTGGTAAGGGTAGGTAACAACACATCTGCCACACTGATCCTCAACACGGGGGCCCCTCAGGGGTGCGTGCTCAGTCCCCTCCTGTACTCTCTGTTCACCCATGACTGCATGGCCAGGCACGACTCCAACACCATCATTAAGTTTGCCGACAACACAACAGTGGTAGGCCTGATCACCGACAACGATGAGACAGCCTATAGGGAGGAGGTCAGAGATCTGGCCGTGTGGTGCCAGGACAACAACCTCTCCCTCAACGTGACCAAGACAAAGGAGATGATTGTGGACTACAGGAAAAAAAAGAGGACTGAGCACGCCCCCATTCTCATCGACGGGGCTGTAGTGGAACAGGTTGAGAGCTTCAAGTTCCTTGGTGTCCACATCACCAACGAACTATCATGGTCCAAACACACCAAGACAGTCGTGAAGAGGGCACGACAAAGCCTATTCCCCCTCAGGAGACTAAAAAGATTTGGCATGGGTCCTCAGATCCTCAAAGAATTCTACAGCTGCACCATCGAGAGCATCCTGACTGGTTGCATCACCACCTGGTATGGCAACTGCTTGGCCTCTGACCGCAAGGCACTACAGAGGGTAGTGCGTACGGCCCAGTACATCACTGGGGCAAAGCTCCCTGCCATCCAGGACCTCTATACCAGGCGGTGTCAGAGGAAGGCCCTCAAAATTGTCAAAGACTCCAGCCACCCTAGTCATAGACTGTTCTCTCTGCAACCGCACGGCAAGCGGTACCGGAGTGCCAAGTCTAGGTCCAAAAGACTTCTCAACAGCTTCTACCCCCCAAGCCATAAGACTCCTGAACAGCTAATCATGGCTACCCGGACTATTTGCACTGCCCCCCCACCCCATCCTTTTTACGCTGCTGCTACTCTGTTAAGTATTTATGCATAGTCACTTTAACTCTACCCACATGTACATATTACCTCAACTACCTCAACTAGCCGGTGCCCCCGCACATTGACTCTGCAACGGTACCCCCCTGTATATATAGCCTCCCTACTGTCACTTTATTTAACTGTATATATAGCCTCCCTACTGTCACTTTATTTTACTTCTGCTCTTTTTTTCTCAACACTTTTATTGTTGTTGTTTTATTCTTACTTTTTTTGTTTAAAATAAATGCACTGTTGGTTAAGGGCTGTAAGTAAGCATTTCACTGTAATGTCTGCACCTGTTGTATTCGGCGCATGTGACCAATAAAATTTGATTTGATTTGATTTGATTTACTCTACACTCTATAAACTAATGATTACAGTTCAAGATTTTGATAAAACCTATGATCTTGTAAGTGATAAGATACTTTGTTAGTCTACATTATCTATTATTGATGTCACTTGTTAAATCCACTTCAATCAGGGAAGATGAAGGGGAGGAGACAGGTTAAAGAAGGATTTGTAATCCTTGAGACAATTGAGACATGGATTTTTTTGATTCAGAGGGTGATTGGGCAAGACAAAATATTTCAGTGCCTTTGGTAGTAGGTGCCAGGAAAACCGGTTTGTGTCAAGAACTGCAACACTGCTGGGTTTTTCACTCTCAACAGTTTCCTGTGTGTATCAAGAATGGTCCACCACCCAAAGGATTTTCAGCCAACTTGACACAACTGAAGCATTGGAGTCAACATGGGCCAGCATCCCTGTGGAATGCTTTCGACACCTTGTAGAGTCCACGTACAGAATAATTGAGGCTGTTCTGATGTCAAAAGTGTGTGTGTGTGGGGGGGGGGGGGATTAATATGGAGATGGTCCCCTCTTTGCAGCTGTAACAGCCTCCACTCTTCTGGGAAGGCTTTCCACTAGATGTTGGAACATTGCTGCGGGGACTTGCTTCCATTCAGCCACAACAGCATTAGCGAGGTCGGAATCTGATGTTGGGTGTTGGCTCGTAGTCGGCGTTCCAATTCATCCCAAAGGCGTTCGATGGGATTGAGGTCAGGGTTCTGTGCAGTCCAGCAAGTTCTTTCACAATGATCTCGACAAACTTTTTCTGTACGGACCTTACTTTGTGCACAGGGTCATTGTCATTCTGAAACAGGAAAGGGCCATCCACAAACTGCTGCCACAAAGTTGGAAGCACAGAATCGTCTAGAATTTCCCTTCACTTGAACTAAGGGGCCTAGCCCGAACCATGAAAAACAGCCCTAGGCAATTATTCCTCCTCCTCAAAACTTTACAGTTGGGGGAAAGTAGCGTTCTCCTGGCATGCGCCAAACACAAAATCGTCCGTCGGACTGCCATATAGTGAAGCGTGATTATTCACTTCAGAGAACACGTTTCCACTGCTCCAGAGTCCAATGGCGGTGCTCTTTGCACCTCTCCAACCTACGCTTGGCATTGCTCATGGTGATCTTAGGCTTGTGTGCGGCTGATCGACCATGGAAACCCATTTCATGAGGCTCCCGACAAACAGTTATTGTGCTGACGTTGCTTCCAAAGGCAGTTTGGAACTCCGTAGTGAGTGTTGCAACCGAGGACAGACCATTTTTACGCGCTGCGCTTCAGCACTCTGTGTTCCCATTCTGTGAACTTGTGTGTCCTACCACTTCGCGGCTGAGCCGTTGTTGCTCCTTGAAGTTTCCACTTCATAATGAAAATTTTACAAAATCATTTGTTAGACAGGTGGCATCCTATGACGGTGCCACACTGAAAGTCACAGAGCTCTTCAGTAAGGCCATTCTACTGCCAATGTTTGTGTGCTCAGTTTTATACACCTGTCCGCAACGGGTGGGTCTGAAATAGCCAAATCCACTAATTTGAAGGGTGTCCACATGCTTTTGTATAGTGTATGTAAAAGGGTGAACGTGAGTGGGGTAAACGCCTACAAAATAAACAAGTACATTTTATGTCAGTCTTACATTCATTGTTCATCATTCACAAAAACATTCACTAAGTGTAACACCTGATAGCGCATGCCTGATTGGACACCCCAGCCAACCAGCTAATGTGACACACTTTACCTATGTAGTTAGTTTTACTTTGTGGTTAGTGTGGTTCTAAAAGGAAGCAATCTATCAGAAGGAATGTACTGAAAGTTCTCCCATGACATCATCACAAAATGGACCCTCCCCCTGGACCACAGGTTAGAATAGATGGTGCTGTATCACACAAGAGATGCTTAACTCTGAGGGTTCAAATAGGGTTCATTAGCAGTTATGTGTGGTTTGTAACAGATTTCGTATTTAAAAAAAATATTGCAGTCAGTTTAATAAATAACTGTTTTGCTGTGGCTGTAATCTGTCAGGTGCAACATGAACAACAAGTAAAGATAGTGAGAACAACAGTGACATCACATAGATATCCTGCTGAAAACCACATAGAGACACAGAGACACAGAGAGCAGGTAGGAGGGTCCTGTGTGCACAAAGCCAGCAGGCCCACCTGACCAAAGCGTAGATACGACCTCATCTTGGGCTTACAGAAGACTGCAGAGTACCTGTGAACTTGCTTGTGGGGGTGGGTGTGAGTGACATGCTTTCAACACAACTAAAAGAAGACAACACATTACAGAGGAGAGATGACTTGAATAAATAGATTGTCTCCCATACTTATTCAACTACTCCCTGGAACTCAATACAAAACTACAAGTCAACATGAGTCTTTGTCTTCGTCATATAGAGATCACTCTACTACCAATTTTATTTTGAGTGATTGTGTGGCTCCTCCTGTTAACTAAGCTACACTTTATAATAACTTAGTTGATGTTGGTAGTGATGATCCAGTGATGATGACTACCTAGCCTGTTTGATGCATGTGACACTATGATTCTGAAATGGATTCATAACATGATACAGATGTGTAATATGCATGTAATAAATGTACATATTACTTTGTTATAGATTCTTAACAGCCACACAGTGTCTTTGTTGGGCCTTTGTTGACAGATATTATGACTACACACATTAACAACCTCAGGAAAGTACGTTTTCAACGCTTGTTCGTCAAATTAATTAACAATTTGAACATATTCACAACTTCTAAATGTTGCTGCGTCTCTGCTGGTGAAGCAGTCGCAGGGGACTTCCATATAACCTACTGCTCCCTATCGACAGATAAATGAATTGCAGTCCTCCAAGGTGCACTTCTACATTCACATTCTGTCAATAATTAGTGAAAATTGCTCAGTCACAAAGTGTACATTGTCATATCTGAAATCTGGCGATCAACAATATAAATACTATTCGAAGTATATTAATCTAGCATGTTTATTTTTAGTTCAGGCTTTCCTCATGAAGACAGTGAGTTGTGCTCTTAGTGACATGGTTGTTTGTGGTTTAGATGCAGGTGTTTGTAGAGAGCGCATGGTGAGGACTGTAGGTCATTGCTGGGGGTTAGAGATGAGATTAGCTGAGAGTTAAATCTATTTAGGGCATTCAGAACACCACAGAGATGTTTTCAATATACAGCTAAAAAAGAGTTTGAGACAAACTAAAATACCAGTCAATAGGTGTATATTTACAGAGTATTATGCAACTAAAAAGAGCTTTGTTACATTGAGCATGAGCTTAATATTGTTGTTGCATACTGAATCTGTGGATGAAATTCAAGGACAGAGAAAAATATGAATGCAAACCAAACAATACCTCTATATGAAAGCAGATGAATGTTTTATTTGATCTAAAATGCACAACAGTATCAATGTTCAACCGATCTTGACAGAATAGAATTGTACCACACAATGAAAAGCCATAGTTATACATACAGTGTAGAAAACACAAAATCAGTGCAAGTTATTAAAGAGCAAAAGCTGACGTTTCAGTCCATGTTTTGGCACCTCACCCCAGAATACACAATGTCTCTCTCCATGGCACTCCTCTGTCTCTGGTCTTTGGCTTCTTGTGGATGACATTCAGAGCAGCGTAATGGACCGACGTGAGTGTGTCATCATCTTCTTGATCCTAAGAGGAATAGCAAAACAAATTCCAAAGATATCAGGAAATTACCTAATATTTTGATAGAAGGATCTGTTTACAATTCATCAAACTCATACAGAATTTTTTTCACTTTATGGTCTGCATGCCTGGTTATGAGAATTGGGGACTGCCGGACCACATGACTGAGGGTGCATTGCTTTTAGACAAACACATGAAGGAATCATCATCATCATCATTATCAACATCATCATCAACATCATCATACAATGAATTAACCCAATTTCATGACTAAAACAGGCTGTAAAGTAAAACAATATGTGGAAAAAGTCAAGGGGTCTGAGTATTTTCCGAATGCACTGTATATTGTTCACAATGATAACGCTTACCTCTACACAGCAGAGAGGTTTTCTTGGTCATCTTATACAAAACACAACCAAGGACGATGCTGAGGATGACACAAAGAGCCACCCAGACAGTACACCAAGAGAACATGGTCCTCCTTACAACCATCTGTAGAAATACAGACAGTGATAGAGGAAATTCAGGACATTTTGTTCAACCAGACATACAATTTATTCACAACAATGTGAAAGTATGTTAGACATTTTCAGAAATGTCAGAAATATCACTTACTTTCAATGTCCAGCTTGGTCCCTTTCCCAAATAGTATCTCCCCACATGAGGCCACAGCACAGTAGTAAGAGATTCTGAGGTTCCCCTTGGGGAGGTTGTAGACACAGCTCAGTGTAGGAGACCCAGCCTCAGGGCTCTTCTCACACGGATCACTCCTGTCTCCTTGGGTGTAAATTAATCCTGGATGGGATTCTCCTGAGCCATGTCTGAACCAATAGATACTGTGTTCTCCTGCACAGATCTCAGTGTGTATTGTACAGTTCAGAGTCACAGAGTCTCCTGGCTGGACTGACTCAGACACAGGCTGCTGGAGAACAGACATGCTGTTGGACCTTTAATCTGAAGAGAGTGAGTAAGATCATGATGTGTACATTCTAGTTTCCTGGTAGATTAATTTATTTAGCATTATATGAACGCACTTCAATACCAGCATTTTAAAAAGCAACTTAAGTTACCTTTGACACTTAAAATAGTTCCTTCTCCAAATTTGACATCCCTCGCTAACATACTACCACAGTAGTATGTAGCTGAGTCCCCTGACTGTCTTGGAGATGGTCAGGTTAGAGCTGTCAACTCCTCTCTTCACACTCAGATGTTTAGTCTCAGTAAAGTTGTTGTAATAAAAACTATTTTCAGTTCCATAATATGATGGCATGAGAAGAGGTTTCTGTCCAACAGTTTGCTTAAACCAAGAGACTCTGATCAAATCAGATCGACAAAAGCAAGTGAGAGATACACTTTGTCCCAGGTGTGTAACCATCACAGGGTCTGGTTGGATTACATCATTGTTAAGTGCACAACCTGTGAAGCAAACAAACTAACTAAATTGAAGACAAAGGTATAATTGAGTTAGTAACACCACATACAAACATGGTCTCTTTTTTGCTTTCTTGAGTAAGGCACCTTCAAAATGCAAGTGTTTCAGCCTAGCTCAGTGCTTTCTGTGGTGGTGGGGCAGCCAGTGGAAAAATACGGAGCGCAGTGGTTGGTAATGTTCTCTAGTTGTGCCGTGATTGGCTCAGTGTTCTGTTACTCATGGGGACTCATGGGGACACTACAGGGAGAGCTCGAAAATTCAAACCCCTTGGGTGCTGCCATAGAGTTACATTAGAAGTGCCCATCCAAGAAGGCTCAAGGTCATTGGCCACAGATAAAATGACGTCAAATCACATTATATCTTCAGTAGCTTTGATTGGATGTCAACATCGTACTTTCAGAATCTTAGCCAGCAAGCTAGCAGTCATCATCATGAATCAAGACGACAATCTACTGGCAAATCCTTTTCAATCCATGTCATATGAAGAGAAATTGAAGAGAAATCATAGATCAAACATATCAGTGCTCATCGGCCATTGGACATAAACATAACACAACAAGTTGGAAATCGCAAATTCAACAGTGAGTGATTTGGAAGGAATCAGTGGCTATCTGCAAGCATTGCAAAGCAATGACTAGCCTGCTATTCAGTGGCGTGGATGTGTGATCCAAGTCTGGGTTTAAGGGTCTCTTTTCCAAACTTAAAAGGATAAACATTCAACATTGGCCATGCTGTCAATCCAGCATGACTTCTGCCGCAAAACAACTGGAAATTCGGAACTGGGAGATCTCTGAAAATAACTAGCTCATACTGGGAAAATATGTTTTTGAACAGCCATCCAACTCAGAATTCCAAGTTAGGAACTCGGGCCTCTTTCTAGAGCTCAGACCTGAATATCACTGACGTCATGATTCGACCTTGATTTTTTCAAAGTTCCCAGTTGTCTTGAAAGCACTAGCTAATGTGACACTTTATCTAGTCTGTTTTACTCTGTGGTTAGTGTGGTTCTTAAAGGAAACAATCTAGCAGAAGGAGGATCCTCCTCTATTGGTCTCCTTCTCACAGAGCACCCTGCAGTAGTCTTTCTGCAGGGTGCTCCATTTTATTAATTTTGCAGCAGTCTTACGGCTTGGGGGTAGAAGCTGTTAAGGAGCCTTTTGGACCTAGACTTGGCCCTCCGGCACCGCTTGCCGTGCGGTAGCAGAGAGAACAGTCTATGACTTGGGGGACTGGAGTCTTTAACAATTTTTTGGGCCTTCCTCTGACACCGCCTAGTATATAGGTCCTGGATGGCAGGAAGCTTGGCCCCAGTAATTTACTGGGCGGCACGCACTACCCGCTGTAGCGCCTTACGGTCGGATGCTGAGCAGTTGCCATACCAGGCGGTGATGGAACCGGTCAGGATGCTCTCGATGGTGCAGCTGTAGAACTTTATGAGGATCTGGGGACCCATGCCTAATCTTATCAGTCTCCTGAGGGGGAAAAGGCGTTGTCATGCCCTCTTCACAACTTTCTTGGTATGTTTGGACCATAATAGTTTGTTGGTGATATGGACACCAAGAAACTTGAAACTCTTGACCCGCTTCACTACTGCCCTGTCGATTTGAATGGGAGCATGTTCGGCCCTCCTTTTCCTGTAGTCCACAATCATCTCCTTTGTCTTGCTCAAGTTGAGGGAGAGGTTGCTGTCCTGGCACCACACTGCCAGGTCTCTGACCTCCTCCTCATCATTGTCGGTGATCAGGCCTACCACCGTTATGTCGTCAGCAAACTTAATGATGGTGTTGGAGTTGTGCTTGGCCACGCAGTCGTGGGTGAACATGGAGAACAGGAGAGGACTAAGCACACACCCCTGAGGGGCCCCCGTGTTGAGGATCAGCATGGCAGATGTGTTGTTGCCTACCCTTATCATCTGGGGCAGCCCGTCAGGAAGTCCAGCATCCAGTTGCAGAGGGAGGTGTTTAGTCCCAGGGTCCTTAGCTTAGTGATGAGCTTTGTGGGCACTATAGTGTTGAAACTGAGCTGTAGTCAATGAACAGCATTCTCACATAGGTGTTCCTTTTGTCCAGGTGTGAAAGAACACTGTGGAGTGTAATTGATCTGTGGATGTGTTGGGGCGGTATGCGAATTGGAGTGGGTCTAGGGTTTCCAGGATGATGGTGTAGATGTGAACAGCTGGTGCTCTCATGCATGCTTCAGTGTTGCTTGCCTCGAAGTGAGCATATAAGGCATTTTGTCCATCTGGTAGGCTCGCATCACTGATATTTTTGCTTGTAAGCAGGAATCAGGAGGATAGAAATACGGTCAGATTTGCCCAAGGAGGGCGAGGGAGAGCTTTGTACGTGTCTCTGTTTGTGGAGTAAAGGTGGTCAAGAGTTTTTTTTTACTCTGGTTGCACATGTGACATGCTGGTAGAAATGAGGTAAAACAGATTAAAATGTGCCTGCATTAAAGTCCTAGGAGCGCCGCTTCTGGATGAGCATTGTCTTGTTTGCTTATGGCCTTATACAGCGCGTTAGTGCCAGCCTCAGGTTGTGGTGGTAAATAGACAGCTACGAACAGTATAGATGAAAACTCTCTTGGTAGATAGTGTGGTCTACAGCTTATCATGAGGTACTCTACCTAAGGCGAGCAATACCTCGAGACTACCTTAATATTAAACATCGCGCACCAGCTGTTATTGACAAATAGACACACACACACCCCCACCCCACGTTTTACAGGACATAGCTGTTCTGTCCTGCCGATGCAAGGAAAACCCAGCCAACTGTATATTATCCATGTCGTCGATCAGCCACGACTCAGTGAAACATAAGATATTACTGTTTTTAATGTCCCATTGGTAGGATAGTCTCGAACGGAGTTCATCCACTTTATTCTCCAGTGATTGCACGTTGGCCAATAGAACGGATGGTAGAGGTTATCCACTCGCAGACAAATTCTCACAAGGCACCCTGATCTGCGCCCCCTGTATTTCCTTATTTTCTTCATGTAAATGACGGGGATTTGGGCCTTGTCTGGGAGCAACATTATATTGTTCGCGTCAGACTCATTAAAGAAAAAATCTACGTCCAGTTCGAGGTGAGCAATCGCTGTTCTGATATCCAGAATAACTTTTCGGTCATAAGAGACGGTAGCAGCAACATTATGCTCAAAATAAGTTATAAACAATGCCAAAAAAATAAAGAAATAGCAGAATTGGTTAGGAGCCCCTAAAACGGCAGCCTCCCCTCTGGCGACATTGATTTGATTTGATTTGAAGCTGACACAGGGACTTCATATACACTGCTGCTCCCTATTGAAATATAAATTAATTGCAGTCCTGCAAGGGGGACTTATACATTCACATTTTGTCAATAGTTTGTGAAAACTGCTCAGTCACAATGTGTACATTGTCATATCTGAAATCAGTCTCAACAATATACATTCTGTTCAAAGTATATTCAGCTAGGATGTTTATTTTTACTTCAAGGCTTTCCTCATGAAGAGAGTGAGTTGTAATCTTAGTGACATGTTTTTTTTGTGGTTTAAATGCACTGAGGTGTGTGTAGAGAGTGCGTGGTGAGGACTGAAGTTTATTGCTGGGGGTTAGAGATGAGTTTAGCTGAGAGTTAAATCTATTTAGGGCATTCAGAACACCACAGAGATGTTTCCGGGATACAGCTACAAAACAGTTTGAGACAAACTAAAACACCAGTCAATAGATGCAACCAAAAATAGCTTTGTTACATTGAGCATAAGCCTAACATGGTTGTAAAATGCAGATTCTGTGGGTGAAATCTATGGACAGAGAACAATATGAATGCAAACCAAACAATGCCTCTGAATGAAAGCAGTTGAATGTTTTATTGGATCTAAAATGCATTTCCAGTATCAATGTTAGAAGGAGCTTGACAGAATACAAGTAATTGTAATACACAATGAAAAAGCCATGGTTATACATATAGGGTAGAAAACACTAAATCAATGCAAGTTATTAAAGAGCAAAAGTTGACGTTTCAGTCCATGTTTTGGCATCTCACCCCAGAGTACACAGTGTCACTCTCCATGGCGCTCCTCTGTCTCCCGGCGTTTACTTTCTTGTGGATGACGTTCAGAGCGGCGTAATGGAGTGTGTCAGCATCTTGATCCTGAGAGGAATAACAAATATAAAATCCAAATGTTTGCTATTAGACAAATATATTTATAGTGAAACAACACCTTTAGGTAAATGCCTATTTTAATATTTTGAACGAAGATAAAATACATTGAATCAGCAACAGCTGGACCAGTGTTAGGTCTGTCTACCTGGTTATGAGAACTGGAGACTGATGAAGTACTTGACTGAGGGTGCCTTCCTGTAGACAAACACATGGTGGAATCATCATCATCATCATCATACAATGAATTAACCCAATTTCATGACTAAAACAGGCTGTAAAGTAAAACAATATGTGGAAAAAGTCAAGGGGTCTGAATATTTTCCCGAATGCACTGTATGTTGTTCACAATGATAACGCTTACCTCTACACAGCAGAGAGGTTTTCTTGGTCATCTTATACAAAACACAACCAAGGACAATGATGAGGATGACACAAAGAGCCAACGCTACACCCAGACAGTACACCAAGAGAACATGGTCCTCCTTACAACCATCTGTAGAAATACAGACAGTGATAGAGGAAATTCAGGACATTTTGTTCAACCAGGCATACAATTTATTCTCAGCAATGTGAAAGAGTGTTAGACATTTTCAGAAATGTCAGAAATATCACTTACTTTCAATGTCCAGCTTGGTCCCTTTCCCAAATAGTATCTCCCCACATGAGGCCACAGCACAGTAGTAAGTCCCAGCATCAGAGAGGCTGAGGTTCCTCTTGGGGAGGTTGTAGACACAGCTCTGTGTAGGAGACCCAGCCTCAGGGCTCCTCTCACACTGATCACTCCTGTCTCCATAGGTGTAAATTATTCCTGGATGGGATTCTCCTGAGCCATGTCTGAACCAATAGACACTGTGTTCTCCTGCACAGGTCTCAGTGTGTATTGTACAGTTCAGAGTCACAGAGTCTCCTGGCTGGACTGACTCAGACACAGGCTGCTGGATCACAGACATGCTGTTGGACTCTGAATCTGAAGAGAGTGAGTAAGATCATGGTGTGTACATTCTATTTTCCTCCAAATTCATTAATTTACCATTATAGGAACACACTTCAGTATTTAACATTTTTAAAAGGAACTGATGTTACCTTTCACAAATATAACTGTTCCTTCTCCAAATGTGACATCACTCGCTAACATACTAACACAGTAGTATGTAGCTGAGTCCCCTGACTCTATTTTTGAGATTGTCAGGTTACAGCTGTCAACTCCTCTCTTCACACTCAAACGTTTATTCTCCGTAAAGTCCTTGTAAAAGTTGTTGGAATATGTATTTTTTTTATCGGGATAAATTGATGATGCCATGAGAAGAGGTTTCCGTCCAACAGTTTGCTTGAACCAAGAGACTTTGATCAAATCAGATCGACAAAAGCAAGTGAGAGATACACTTTGTCCAAGGTGTGTAACCATCACAGGGTCTGGTTGGATTACATTTTTGTTAAGTACACAACCTGTGAGGCAAACAAACTAAATAAATCAAAGACAAAGGTATAGTACAGAATGATACATTATTATCATTATTCAGACTACATGGTCATTCAATTGGATTCAAAAAGACTGACATAAAAAGTACAAGGATCCACATGAATATTTCTTACTTACCAAAATTGGTGTAAAACAAAAAGATTGTCCAATATATAATCATCATTTTAATGTCCTTTCTGCACTGTATAGTGGTGGGTCTGACAACGGGGCACCTTTTATATGATGACACTCATCGGGTAGTCATTATGAAGTAGGCGGAAACACTGAACAAAGTGATTTCATTGGCTCTCTGAATAGGCATAAACCATCTGATAAAAACTACAATCTAACGTGTCCTGTGGCATACCATAGTTAGAGCAGCCCTTCAAATGACTTAAAGTCAGAGTTACTGGTTTGTATTTTTTCATCATTTGGGTCGGTGGCTGAGACTAGTGGTACATATGTCCTCTTTGACATACACAGAGGCTTTACATTGTATTTCTCACTTCATGTCTGTAGAAGGCAGTTCAAGCTTTCAGGAGGAAATTAATTCTGGTGAGGTTGGCACCTTTTTGACAAAATAAAGATGTGATCCTTTGATACCTGGTGCAAATAAATGGTAAGAATTGGGCCATTAAACTTCGAAATAAAAACATGTTTATTGAAATATCAAACAAGCATAAAGGCAGCTTACAGCTATTATCATCAAAAGGAAGAGTTCAGACATTTGCAAAATTATTATATAAATGTTGTTTATACAAAAACAAATGTATGCAGTCAGTCAACCTCATCCAATAGGCCCCTGCAAAGGCATCCTACAGCAAATAAGAAATGTAGAGTATATAATCGCCAGTTCACACAGGCACAATCAACATCAAAGTGGAGTTCAGAGGAGGGGTGGGGCTGATTCTTATTGGATGACCCATACATGTCAAGTCCTGTCTTGATGACTCACACAAGAGTAGATGGTTTCTTCCTCTCTCTGTTCTCTCTCTCTCCTCTGTCTCCTGGGATTGGTACTCTTCTTGTCAGGGAACTTCAGGGCGGTATAGTTAAGGGCAGCATCATCACCGTGGAGTTACACTATGGGGATGAAACACAGACTCACTCAATTCAGAATCTGGGTCAAATCTAATGCTGTAATATTTAGCTTTAATACTGTTATCCAGTCTCACTCTTGATACAGCAATTCTGCTAACCTGTTGGTCTGAGGTGTTGGCATGAGGATTCCCATACTGGCTCTGCTGAGAAGGGGTCCTCGCTAAAAGAAAAATGACAAAACATTTAAAACACTTGAAACCTCCTCTTGTTTACTTATTAAAAGGCATACTACCATGTATTATTTTCTTCTGAATTAAGAAATGAAATCAGAGTACCTGTAAATAGGTTGCTGTGAGTGAGAGGGGGTGTTGCTGGCATGACAAGAGAAAAAGCTGTTTGTCACTGCAACATAAAGATGCTTGGGTATGGCCTAAATAAATACATTCAACTTCCTTTGTCTTGATTATAGTTAAATGCTTTATTCATCATATCACAAGTAAGTCATTGTCAATGAGTTTGGAAGAGAAGCAATGCACCTAATTCATTACAGTTACAGCTAATAAAGTTAACAATTAAGGCTGTGTCATTCATCCAGTTCTACTGTCTGATCCCAGAGTACACCATCTCCTCCACCATGTTGGTTCTCTGTCTTCTAGACCTGTTCTTCTTGTTCACTCCTGTCTTCATGGGTGTAAATGATTCCTGGACGGGAATCTCCTGAGCCATGTCTGAACCAATAGACACAGTGTTCTCCTGCACAGGTCTCAGTGTGTATTGTACAGTACTGACTCAGACAGACTGCTGTACAACGGTGGTGTTTCTGGATCCTGAACCTGACAAAAAGGTTTTCATGTCAGTAAATGTGTTTCCTATTTTGTGTCCTAACTCAACATTTGTTGAAAACTTAAGCTACAGTAATATATTATTGTGGGATTACCTTACATTTAATTAAGACATTGTATATCCAAAATGTAAAGTGCAACAATGCTCATGATTATAGTTACAGAACACTCGTTTCTAGTTATATTCTCTCTAAATTCAGATGTTGTACCTTTAACAATGAGAATTGCTCCTTCTCCAAATCCACCTTGTTAGAATAAGAACTCCCACAATAATTATTGCTGAATCTGAGAGCTGCATGTCTGAGATCCTTAGGTGTTTTATTCCTTTGTCACTTTGCACTAAGTAGTGAGGGTTGCCTTCAAATTCATTGTGGAATGTGGCATTATTGTCATAACTGTAGAAAGTTGTCATGAGCTGAGGATTGTCAGCCAATGTTTGCTTGAACCACAAGAAGTGAAGTGCCAAGTTGCCTTCATGGAAGCATTGCAATGTCACTGTGTCTCCTATGTTGGCTGAAACAAGGTGCATGGCTGAGGATTGTACCCCAGCTAGAATACACACAAAGACAGATATGAATTACATCAACAAAGTTCCTGGTTGACTTCAAATGTATGGTGTAGCCCCTATAAGCACAGAAATATATAAGTTGGACCTACCCATCTCCCTGAGAAGTGGAAATATCAGGCAGAGTGTGATGATCATCTTTGAAGTTAGTAACTGTGTCTTGAGTGGAAGAAGTCTACCCAAGTAAAAAAAAAGTAATCAACAGTGGGCTATTTGGTGATTGGTTAAACTGGACACGTCATTTTTGTTGATGCCTTATCCAGCCCACCATAAACTGAGAATCACTTACTGTATATAATCAATGCTAAAAGTGGACCAATGCTAGTAATTTGCAACAACTGGCTGGATGAAAGCTGTTTTATACTCTGTTAAAACTCTTATCTGGATAGATAGTCTGTGTAAGACCAATCAAAATATTATCCAACAACCTTTTTTTCCTTCTTGGAAATCATACTTTACCACCCCATTTACCATCACAGGTAAATTATATTTTTAAATACGTTTTTCATGTAGTTTTTACAACAACAAAAAATTAGCATACATTATACAGTGCATTAGGAAAGTATTCAGACCCTTTGACTTTTTAAACATTTTGTTACATTACAGCATTATTCTAAAATTGATTACATAAATAAAAAATCGAATCAATCTGCACAAAATACAACATAATGACAAAGCGAAAAACAGGTTTTTAGATTTTTTTTGCAAATGTATTACAAATAAAAAAGAGAAATACCTAATTTATTTAGGTATTTAGACCCTTTGCTATGAGACTCAAAATTGAGCTCAGGTGCATCCTGTATCCATTGATCAGAGTCCCCCTGAGGTAAATTCAATTGATTGGCCATGATTTGGAAAGGCACACACCTGTCTATATAAGGTCCCAGAGTTGACAGTGCATGTCAGAGCAATAACCAAGCCATGAGGTTGAAGGAATTGTCCAAGAACGCAGTGGCCTGCATCATTCTTAAATGGAAGAAGTTTGGAACCACCAAGACTCTTCCTAGAGCTGGCCACCCAGCCAAACTTAACAATTGGGGGAGAAGGGCCTTGGCCATCGAGGTGACCGAGATGGGAGAACCGTCCAGAAGGACAACCATCTCTGCAGCACTCCAACAATCAGGCCTTTATTGTAGAGTGGCCAGAGGAAAGCCACTCCTCAGTAAAAGGTACATAACAGCCCGCTTGGAGTTTCACAAAAGGCACCTGAAGGACTCAGACCATGAGAAACAAGATACTCTGGTCTTATGAAACCAAGATTGAACTCTTTGGCCTGGCACCATCCCTTTGGTGAAGCATTGTGGTGGCAGCATCATGCTGTGGGGATGTTTTTCGGCGGCAGGGACTGGGAGACTGGGAGACTAGTCAGGCTCGAGGGCAAGACGAACGGAGCAAAGTACAGAGAGATCCTTGATGAAAACCTACTCCAGGGCGCTCATGACCTCAGACTGGGGTGAAGGTTCACCTTCCAACAGGACAACAACCCTAAGCACACAGCCAAGACAATGCAGGAGTTGCTTCTGTACAAGTCTATGAATGTCCTTGAGTGGCCCAGCCAGAGCCCGGACTTGAACCCGATTGAACATCTCTGGAGAGACCTGAAAATAGCTGTGCAGCGATGCTCCCCATCCAACATGACTGAGCTTGAGAGGATCTGCAGAGAAGAATGGGAGAAACTCCACAAATACAGGTGTGCAAAGTTTTTAGTGTCATACCCAAGAAGACTCAAGGCTGTAATCGCTGCAAAAGGTGCTGCAACAAAGTACTGAGTAAACGGTCTGATTACTTATGTACATTTTATATTTTGGGTTTACATTTTTATTACATTTGCAAAAATTTCTATAAACCTGTTTTTGCTCTGTCATTATGGGGTATTGTATGTTGTTTGATGAGAAATAAAATCAATTTAATCAATTTTTGAATAAGGCTGTAACTTAACAAAATGTGGAAAAAGCTGTCTGAACACTTTCCGAATCCACTGCATGTACTTGTATACTCTTGGTATCAACATCAGTTGTGTGTCTTAGACATCTTTGGTTCCACCACATGCAGCAGTTACAGTTCTCCTGATGATAAAGCAAGACAATTTTATGTCAGTCTTACTTTCACTATCATTCACAGAAACATGAAGTGTAACACCTGATAGTTTAGTATGGGTCAGGGGTTTACCTGGGTGGGTAGGGCTTACACCTTCTACTCTATACTGTGTAAATTAATGATTAAAGTTCAAGAACTGATAAAACCTATGATCTTGTAAGTGATAAGATACTGTGTTAGTCTAGATGGAGCTGTGTTTCTAATTGTCATTGGCATGAGCAAGGAAGAAAGAAAGTAACTGACTGACACCACATAGACATCCTGCTGAAAACCACAGAGTGTGTAGGAGGCCAGCAGGCCTGTCCACAGCGTAGAGATGGCTTCATCTTGAGCTCACAGCAGACCAAAGTGTTCAGATACCTGTGAACAGCTCACTGAGTGCATGATGTGTGGGTGGGTTTAATATGGTAACAGTAGGTAGTCTCTGCAGAAGCCCTCTGGACAAACATTCATAAAGACATTCTTACTCAAGTAGTATTTTACTGGGTGACTTTCACTTTTACTCAAATATGACAATTGGGGACTTTTTCCACCACTGTTGTCTGATAAGCATGCAGTACATTATCAAGCATACATTACATATACAGTATGTAGCTGTACATGCCCTTGGGATCAAACTTAGTTGTGTGCCATAGACTTGGCCCCACCCCATGCAACAGTTACAGCTCTCCTGATGACCTATAGGAGGACTGTTATACATAGAACAGATCTTGATATGTACCAGGGGGATCAGGGGTGGAGCATCATGAGTGTATATGGGGGAATAACGTACACTACAGGATGAAACAATCTATTTCATGTAAGTCTCATTACCTATCATTCACAGAATCATGCTCTAACTGAAGTGTAACACCTGATAGTTTAGTAGGGGTCAGGGGTGTACCTGGGTGGGTAGGGCTCTTAGCTGTAGCCTAGTATACATTGATACAACTTCTACTTTAAACTCTGTAAATCAATTATCGTAGTTCAAGAATGAACATGAACATGCTTTTTAGTACAGGACTCGGCTTAAACTGTGTCTGGGAAACTGGCCCATATGATAAGATAGAGGCTATATAGCATGCAGTATGTCAGTGGACTGTGTTTCTAATTGTTATGGTCGTGATCAACAATGTAAGCATGAGAGAAAACACACTGACACCAGGTAGACATCCTGCTGAAACCACATAGTGAGTGAAAGGCCAACCAGGCCTATCCAAAGCAAAGAGATGGCCTTGTCTTGAGCTCACAGCAGACCAAAGTGTTAAGGTACCTGTGAACAGCTCACTGCATGATGCGTGGGTGGGTTTAACATGGTAACAGTAGGTTGTCTCTGTAAAAGCCCTCTGCACACTGTCACGGTCGTCGAGGAGTGAAGGAGACCAAGGTGCAGCGTGTGAAACGAACATGGTACTTTATTTAGTTAAAGCACAAAAAACAAGAAACACGACTAGTGAAGTCCACAGTCAACCTGACTGAAAACGGAAACAATAACCCACAATGCCCACAGGAAAACATGCAGTATAAATATGGCTCCCAATCAGAGATAACGAGCCGACAGCTGACACTCGTTACCTCCGATTGGGAGTCAATGACCAAACCTAGAAATAAACGTGACAGAAATGCAAACATAGAAAATCACCCAAAACCCAACAAAACACAATACACCCTGGCTCAAATACAAAAGTCCCGGAGCCAGAGTGTTACAGTACCCCCCCCTAAAGGTGCGCACTCCGGGCGCACCAGCATACAGTCTCGGGGAGGGTCTGGGTGGGCGTCTGTCCACGGTGGCGGTTCTGGCCCTGGTCGTGGTCCCCACCCCACCTTAGTCACCACCCGCTTCCCTAGCCTCCTCCACATGACCACCCCCCAATTAAACCCCACTGGATTAAGGGGTGGCACCGGACTAAGGGACAGTACCTGACTAAGGGGCGGATCCTGGCTGGCTGGCTCTGGCGGATCCTGGCTGGACGGCTCATGGCAGGCTGAAGGATCTGGCTGCTCATGGCTGGCTGACGGATCTGGCTGCTCATGGCTGGCTGACGGATCTGGCTGCTCATGGCTGGCCGACGGATCTGGCTGCTCATGGCTGGCCGACGGATCTGGCTGCTCATGGCTGGCCGACGGATCTGGCTGCTCATGGCTGGCGGAAGGCTCTGGCTGATCCTGTCTGGCGGAAGGCTCTGGCTGATCCTGTCTGGCAGAAGGCTCTGGCTGATCCTGTCTGGCGGAAGGCTCTGGCTGATCCTGTCTGGCAGAAGGCTCTGGCTGATCCTGTCTGGCAGAAGGCTCTGGCTGATCCTGTCTGGCGGAAGGCTCTGGCTGATCCTGTCTGGCGGAAGGCTCTAGCGGCTCTGGTCTGGCGGACGGCTCTGATGGCTCATGGCAGACGGGCGGCTTTGCAGGCTTTAGGCAGACGGGCAGTTCAGGCCCCGTTGGGCAGACGGCAGACTCTGGCCGTCTGAGGCGCACCGTAGACTTAGTGCGGGTGGCCGGAACAGGCCGGACCGGGCTGGCGACGCGCACCGTAGTCTTGGTGCGGGTGGCAGGAACAGGCCGGGTCGGGCTGGCGACGCGCACCGTAGTCTTGGTGCGGGTGGCAGGAACAGGCCGGGTCGGGCTGGCGACGCGCACCGTAGTCTTGGTGCGGGTGGCAGGAACAGGCCGGACCGGGCTGGCGACGCGCACCGTAGACTTGGTGCGGGTGGCAGGAACAGGCCGGACCGGGCTGGCGACGCGCACCGTAGACCTGGTGCGGGTGGCAGGAACAGGCCGGACCGGGCTGTGGAGACGGATAGGAGGCCTGGAGCGAACAGCGGACACCACCCGTCCTGGCTGAATGCCTACCCTCACACACTCTGTGTGAGGCATCAGCACAGGACGTACAGGGCGGTGTACCCCTGGCCTGGTGGCCTCCTGGATACTCCCCCTTTTCTCCTCCGTCAGCCCTGTCGTCCATGCCGTGTGCCCCCCCCTAAAAATTTTCTGGGGTTGACACACGACCCTCCGACGATGGCCCTGCTGCCGCCGTTGCTCCTCTCTCGCCAGGGCCTTGATCCTTCCCCAAGGTCCCTTGCCTCCGAGCATGTCCTCCCAGGA